GGGATTTCATGAATAATCATTTCTGCTTGCCTCCCCTTTCAGTGGAGGGTTTCCAGAGTGCTTGATGATCGTGCAGTCTCACTCCATCCCCAGAAGGCAAATGAATATTATCTTTATAAAGAGAGATAAGGCAGGCTAGACAAAGGCCTGGAGTAACTTGGTTAAGTTTATCAGAAAAAGCCAATAGCACGATCAGGATTTATGCCCAGGAATTAAGATTCTCGAACTGCTTGGAGAACGAGATGTCTGTCCGTAGCACAGCTTGCGTTGGCACCGTGCAACGTGGTCTGTGAAGAGGAGGATCTTCCCTTAGAAAAGAAGAGAAGGCACAGAGCGGCAGTGAAGAGACTTCGGGAGGGCTGGAGAGTGCAGCGGCTCCCCGGGGGAGGCGGGGGCCGTGGGCTGGGGCGGCACCCCGGGTACCCGTGCTGCCCCGGCTCTGCTGCCTGACCCATCCCAAAACCTCCGGCCAGTGCCGTCGCTCTGTGTTCAGCGTGACGCTGGCCTGGCACCAGCGGTAACAACAAAATCAGACCTGAAGGTGCTTTAATGCACCCAGAAGAGCAGGAGAACCAGCAACGTAATGCCTCCAGGAGCTACCTATGGCTATTGGAATGGGGGATTACAGGCATAAGGGCTTGGCTGGCTCGCTAGTCCTCATTAAAGTCTAATAATCTCTATAAAGATGCGGCGTTGCACATGCACAGCAGCCCTGGCCCCTCTGAGCTACGGCTCGGCGAAGGCTCTATTAGCCATTTGATAGTTTGGGCATGAAACCGTAAAATGTGTGTGTTTGTGTTGTGAAAGAACTTGGGTCAGGATTCCCTCTGTGAGCCTCAACCTCGGCAGCTTGGCTTAGGAACAGAGGGGCCAGGCTTGTCCCGCAAGCGATGTTAGGGAGCTGCGACGCCGCCGGCAAGCAAGACTTGGGGGGTTGCAAAAAGCAGGAGCAACAAAAATGTAAATGCTTTGAGCTTCCAGTGTCCTCCAAGCAAAGCGTTATACGCCCGCCCAGCTGCAGGAGCTTCAGTATCGCCAGCCTAAAAACTTGGTAAAAGGAAACCCGAGATGGACCGTAAAGTGAGCTTGATGGAGAAATGGTGAAATCTAACACAAATGGACGTTTGTATTAGCATTGTGACATCTAAGCCTCTAGAAATCCCATTTTCTTGGGTTTTTTTGTGATTAGGCCAATTGTTTTTCTGGAAGCTGAAGTTCTTGAGTAACCAAGTGGCTCTGATAGCCACTGCTCTGGGAACTGCTCCAAATATTGCCAAATTCTGGTGAAAACCTCAAAGGTTGGCACCTCCGCAATGTTGATGCCTTCAAAGAAGCAAGGCTTTTAATGAACAGACTTCCTTCTTCGAGGTCTCAGCATCTGGCTGGAACCTGCTAAAAATGTTTGTGCTTGGAAAAAACCTGACTGACCCTGAGTTGAGGAAAATCAATGCCTTGAAGCTGTCGTGGTGGTGACAAGGGTCCGGCTGTGCCACCCTTGCATTAACTCGTCGGTCCTTTCTGAAATCCTGGAGTAACGCGTTGGCACGCTTTGGAGGCGATAGCTGGCCGCGAGTCTCATTTGAATCTGAGGCCACTGCTGGGTTTTTTGGATATGGTAAATAGGAAACGGTAGGAAGACAAAGTCTGACTGGAAGATTACAAAGGGAGAAGAGGTCCCACTAACCGACTTAAACAGCATTTTAAGGAAGATGGGGGGAGTCCCATCACGTCACTCCTTAAAACCAGAGGGGGCAGAAGCGATGGGATCCACCACCCTGGGACGGAGAGCGGCGTCAGGACTGGGGAGGTGCTGGGCCGGTTGTATTCCTGCAGCAAACGCATCGGCTCCTGACTTTTTCCTGACTCATCTAATCCTGGTGCTGGGGAGCCTGGATCAACTGGTCCCCACCAGCCGTAATGAGTGCAATTACTGGCCGGGGGCTGCTGATTGACTTTGGTGGGAGGGTGGAGCAGGCTGAAGCCGGGTTCTAAATGTGCAGAAGCACAGGTTAGCTCGGCTGGGAGACTCATGAAATTTAAATTAGGAGGATTTTGTGGGGAAGAGGAAAAAGTATTAACAAACTAAAGAGAGCTAATTACTGGCGATGGAGAACATTCACTGTGTAGTTGCAGATGACAGCGGTAAGTAGTTCCCATCAGGGCTTTTCCTGCTTTGGAGACAGAGAGGTTGGCCGTCCACCGAGTTACCAAAGATGATAAGGGGCTGCATTTTATAAATGGAGGTAGGCTCTAATTGCAGAAATGCCTGCAAATACTTCTGTGGCACTTTGCTGAACCCTGGTGTCACGGAGGATTTTTGAAGTCTGCTTTCCACAGTCATTACGCGCAGCTTCATTTGTAATGAAGTTTGCAACTCGTGGAACTTCATTTGGATAAATTTTAGCTCCCCCCACCCCGAAACCTATTTCATGTCCATCTGCTAATGGGGAAAGAAATTAAACCTTGGTTCCTTGTGGAATATTGCGGCAGAGGCCGTCGCAGGGTTTTAACTCCCGCTCGAGAAGCAGAAACAACTCCGTGGCCAACCTCCACCGTGCCACACAGCTTGAGCAACGCCCCACAAAGCAAATAATCATCAGCTGTAAGCGAATGCATTCAAGTGCACCTTGACTTCGTCTCTAATGAGGGAAATTTTACCAAATGAGTTGGTGCAAAGGTTCTCCCTTGCATCTCATTGTAGTGGGGGGTGAGCAGGGGGGTTAAGGGCAGGCGGATTTAGGTGCGGGGATTTTTTTTTCTCTTGTATTGTTTGCCCTCCAGCTCAGCAAAATCCTTCTTTTCTGAGCACGGGTTGTGACTCCGCTAGCAGGAATCCTCTTCTCCCAAGCCCGAATAATGGCCCGTCCTGGTCTCCTAGTAACTGCGGCTGCCACATCACTTTTGACAATGGTGCATCCTTTGTAGCCTGGTTCTCTGCTCCCGCTGTCTGCTCTGTTTCTTCAAATGGCAATTGTCTGAAATTTCTCCAAATGAGCAACTTTTGTGTGTGGTGGTTTTGTTTGTGCTGGCAGAAAGGGGTTTAACATGTCTTTTTGTGCTTCTTCCTTAAAGCAAGGTGAACCCTTGGGGAACATACTTTTGTGAGATAGCTGTTGGTAGGGGTTTTTTTCCCCCCCAATATCAAGTATTGCTCCTGTTATTTTCTGAAACCGTGCTCTCAAAGCATTTTAAACTTTCTGTTCTCGGAGTAAAATACTTTCCATTGATTATTGCGCTAAAAGGTTTTCTTTGCTGGATGTGTTTTGGAACCGGCCTCTGTCTAGATGTAAAAGCGCATATAATGAAACTTCGCCAGCAGCCAGCAAAGCTCTCTCCAAGCTGTAGAGAAGGCATTTGACTTGTGAAGGCTGCAGCATAAAACCTGCTCTCGTGGTAATACCTGCCTCGTAACTCTGCCGGGGTTTTACTGGCGTAAGGGGATTTTTTGAGCTGCTCTGGATATGGGGAGTTTGGGAGCAAAATGAAGGGCTGGGGGGCAGGGGGGAGCTGCTTTTTGGCCTTTTCTGTAGGAGGGGCTTTGTCCACGTAAGTGGGAGCCTGAAGTTTGGGTGTTTGGGGAAGGGGAGGAGGTTGGGAATACTCATGAGTGGTGCAGAATAAGCCCCTGCACGAGCAATAGCAACCAAGCGTCCGGGTGACAGTCCGAGTCCCGGCAGCCCCGAGCTGGACCCAACACCTGGCTACTAGAAGGGGCGAGTTCAGATGCAGCTGAACGGAGCCGAATTTGGGCACGGGGCGGGGTGATGCCCTGTGCCTCATTCCCAACCCCACCCGTTTATTTTCCATCTCCCCCAAGGAGACCGAGATTGCTCTCAGTAAAAACACTTGACCTGCCTCGGTACCACTGTGAAAACTTTATTCTGGCTCTCCAAGACAGCATTGTTGTTGTTTGGGGATGGTTTTGGGTGGGTTTTTTTCTTTTTTTTTTTCCTTCAAAGTAAATTAGGTGCTACAGTCAGAGCTCCACTTCACACAAATGTACGGACGCGGGCACGCACCTTTGCACCGAGGAATGGCAGCACTTGGAGCTGAAGGTGGCTGGGCGAGGGTGGGAGCGGGCGCTGGGGAGCCGGCAGCGATACGAAGCACGAATGAGATGAAGGGGAAACGCATGAATCACAGCGTGTCAGGGGAAACACATGAATCACGTATTGTGTCAGCACATTTGACAGATTCCACCAGGCTGTCTCTACCTGATTTCACATCCCCAAGCCCCCCTGTGCCGTGGTGCCCGGTGTGAGCCATGGGGGGGTGGCACCCCGGGAAGGTCCTTCCCTGCCCTCCCACCCATCCTGGCTCCCCGTTTCCATCCTGGCAGCCCTTTGCATCCCGACATGGGAAAGCTCTGCTCCAGCTCCCATCGCTGCAGAATTTGGACATGGAGCAGATGATGTGGCTGCCCATGGACATCCCACAGCCATGGACAGCATCAGGTGCCTTTCTCCCCCCGAGGTCTTCCCCTGGCTCCGGACTGTGCAAACCTGCTTCTGGAGCCCGCTTTGCCTGGTCACCAACCTTCTAGGACCATGTGGCCTAGATCCAGGCAAATCCATTATTGCACTGAGAAACCCGAGTCCGGATTGTGGCTTTGTGTCCTATTTTCTGTATCCTAGATTCAGACCCTGCCTTCGGGTACCAGTCTCTAAAGACCACGGATCCAGGCCAGGTTTAGCGATGCCAGTACCCCATAGCCTAAAATTCCTCCTCTTGACATTGGAGCTTTTGGGGAAAATGGAAAATCCTCCTCTTCCTTCCTTCTGGTTTCTAGGGACCGCTGCGCTCCCGCCCCCGCTTACAAAACCTCCCCCCGCCCCCCCAGCACCCGCTCGTCACCGGGGCATCCTGAGATGGGCAGAGCACGTCATCCCGAGGGGTAGTAGGGTACGTCGCTGTGGTAGTTGTAGTCGGGACACACTTTCCTCCCCCCGCCCCCCCAGCACCCGCTCGTCACCGGGGCATCCTGAGATGGGCAGAGCACGTCATCCCGAGGGGTAGTAGGGTACGTCGCTGTGGTAGTTGTAGTCGGGACACACTTTCTGCACCAGCCTGTAGTCTATGCTGTAGAAGGTGATGTAGATGCAGATGACTTTGAAGGGCTTCGAGCAGACCCAGGAGACGTGACTTTGGGTGTGCTCGTGGTAGCAGGTCTTAGATGGGTCATAAGTGCAGAGTGTGGTCTTCTTGGCACGATCCACTTTCTCGTACTCCACGCGGCAGTTGAAGATTTTGGATTCTTTGGCCTCGATGAAGATCTGTTGCTCCAGGTCAAACTCCACTGCCTTGGTGGGGGGGACGAGGCTGACGGAGATGTTCCCTTGCCCGGTAGAGTTGTGTCGGAAGAAGACGTTGACGGTGCCGTTGCCGTGATCAACCACCTTTCCAGTGATCAAGAGGTTCAACTTCACTGTCTTGATATTGGAATAGAAATCTCCCCAGCCAAAAATTTTTTTAAGCTTGCCTGAGGCTGGCCCCAAGTCCCTTTGTCCTCTGGGGTGTGGAGCGTGGTCCTGCTCGGACAGGTTATCCAGGATATCCCACAACTCCCGTGAGCTGCTCACCAGCTCCAGGAGGGTCATGTTCTGCAGTAAGGTTGGCGTTAACAGGGACTTTGGGGACAGCAGCTGTCTCATCTTCTGCACTTGAGGTCTCTCCTGGGTCTTGGGTTCATGTTGCTCTGCACCTTTCCCGGGTTCTTCTTGGCCACGGATCACCTGAACGAAGCGATGGCAGAGAGGGAGAGATGGGTGATGGGTGCCTGTCCCCCTTGCCCAGTCCTGCTCTCCAGAGTCACCACACTTCTCCAGACAGGACCCAGCCATCCTCTTTCCCATCCTTATTTCCCTTTTCTCTTGCCTTTCCTCTCTACTTCTCTCTGTAGCCTGTACTTCCCTGCTGGTAGCAGTTTTTCCCTGCTCTCATTCTCTCATGGTTGCTCGGGGAGCGGGTGAAAGGAGCCGGGATGGGTGCGTTTTGCTCATCGCTGGAGCAGCCTGGCAGCGGCACCTCTCAGGGCAGAGCACTTGCACCTGGGCGATCTCTGCAGGTGCCAGGGAGAGGGTGCTATGGGGGAGGACGCGCACCTGCGACGAGGGTGCCGGACTCCTGGCCTTCGCAGGCTGCCGACAGCACGTCCCACGGACCCCGCTTCTCACCTCCAAACTGTGCTGCGGTCCGGCGGAGAGACGGAGCTGGGAGCAGCGGGGCAGCGCGAGGGACCGCAAAGCGCAGAGGCGAGTT